GGAAAGTGAGGCAATCACGTCGTTGAGGGATTGTATGGACTTCTTCGAGGTGGGTGTGGTGATTTCCGAAAATGCATGGCACTTGTCCGGATTTGCCTCGATCCCACGCTCGGTTAGGTAGTAGCCGAGGAATTTTCCCGCATGGACATCGAAGGTGCATTTCTCCGGGTTGAAGCGCATTCAGCAATTCCTCGCTGTGTCAAAGACCTTTCTGAGATGGGCCGTGTGGTCGACTTCCGTGTAGGATTTGACAATCATGTCGTCCATGTACACCTCGAGCATGTCGCCGATTTCTCCCTGAAATACTTTGTTCATCATCCGTTGATACGTGGCACCGGTGTTCTTTAGGCCGAAGGGCATTACGCTGTAGTAATAGTTGCCTGACACCGTCATGAAGGCCGTGCTCTATTTGTCATGCTCGGCCATCGGGATCTGGTTCTATCCCGAGTATGCGTCCATAAAGGACAAGAGTTTGAAGCCCGCCGAGTTGTCGACGAGCTTGTCGATGTTAGGGAGGGGGTAGGCGTCCTTAGGACATGCCCGATTAAGGTCGGTGTAATCAACACACATGCGCCATTTTCCATTATTCTTTTTAACAAGTACAACATTGGACAGCCAGGTTGAGTACCGGGCTTCCGAAATAAATTTTGCCTCTAAGAGGTCTTCTACATCTTTTTCAGCCGCCGTCGACTTTTCGGGGGACTGTCTATGCCTACGTTATACTACGACCTTGGCGGTCGGGTTGATGGACAGTTGATGGAAGGCGACCTCGGGGTCGAGTCCGGGCATTTCTGCGGCGCTCCAGGCGAAGAGATCGGCGTTCTCGCGGAGGCAGGCTTTCAGTTGTCTCTTCGCTAGGTCGGGGAGTCCGACTCTGATCTTCATGGTTCTGCTCTTGTCGTCCCCGAGTGTCACGATCTCGAAGTCACCGTCTGGGATGGGGCGCGCTAGGTGGGTGGGGTGCCCGTTGGACTGGTTGGCTTTGCTAGCTTCTTCTTCGCGGTCGTGCTCCTCGGTGAAGCGGTTGTCGAAGTCCACGAATCCGACGAGCTCCTTCGGTTCGCTCTTTGGCGTCGCGGTGGGGGCTGCCTTCTTAGTTGCTGGAGTGATGGTGCTTAAACCTTTCAGCGCGGCCTCGAAGCATCTCCGGGCAGCCTCGATGTCACCATTTAGGGTTACCACGGCCCCCCGCCTCGTATAGTATTTCATCTTTAGGTGGACGGTGGATGGCACCGCAGTGAGTTCTGCCATTGTCGTCCTTCCCAGGATACAGTTGTAGAGGGACGGGCACTCGATGACTAAGAAGCGGATATTGATCTCCCTGGAGGTTTCCTTCTCCCCGAATGTGACTTTCAGCTCCACGTATCCCCGTGGTCTTGTTGTTGTCCCATTGAACCCTTGGAGGTCAGAGCCCACATAGGGGGATAGGTTGGATTCGTCGAGCTGGAGGGTCGTGAAAAGGTGGGTGTACATGATGTCCACCGAGCTTCCTCCGTTGACGAGGATGTGTCTGACGTCGAAGTTCGCCATCAGTGCCCGTATCAGCAGGGGAATGTTGGAGTTGGGGGAGCCCCCGGGAAGTTCCTCGAGGTAAAAGGTGATCGGATTGGATCGACCGCAGAATTTTTCGAGAGTGCTCATCTTGCCGGAGTTGCTCGTGATAAGCTCTTCGAAATTTCTCTTTACCGATCCTACGGACAGGTTCCCCATGGAGCCGCCAGAGATGACCATGGCTCTTGGAAAGTATTCCCATCGACTGGTGGGGCGTACCGGCTCGTCGGGTAGATCAGGGCCGTCGGGGAGACCGAATTCTCTATGGGCGAACCAATCCTCAAGGCGGCTGACGCAGGGGGCGACCTGGAGGCCGTTGTCGCCGTCTGAAGAGGGAAGTTCTTCAACTTTCTTGGCCTCAGGGGAGTCTTGCCTCGGGGTTTCTCCCCCCGGGTGTATCTCTTCAGGTGGCCGTCTTTGATCAGGATTTCGATCGCATCCTTGAGATGGATGCAGTCTTTTGTAACGTGCCCGTGGCTGCTGTGGAAACGGCAGTACTTCGATTTGTCCACGTTAGGCTTGGGGGGTGTCGGTCTGGGGAAGCGGACGCCTCCCTGGACAAATTTGGTCTTGGCGCATTCGGCCAGTATGCGCTCGCGGGAAGCGACTAGGGCCGTATACTCCGTGAATCGGCCGGCGGGACCGCGCTACTCGCGTTGCTCGCGGGGGCGGTCCTCCTGTCGGCGATCACCTCTGCGCCGGTGGCTTGAAGCTCCGTCCTCTCGGTGCCCGCGGGGGGTCTCTCTGTCTCGCGTGTCTCGGGCGGAGTTGCCTGCTTGGGTTTCCTCGAACCGGATATAGTGCGCGGCTCTATCGAGGAAATCCTGTAGGGAGGCTGGGCGGTGTACGCCCACGGCCTCGTAGAACTTGGAGTCGCGGCGTAGGCCCTGCTCCATTAGGTAACGCTACATCTCGTTTGACGTTGTCACCTGCACTGCCTCCCGTGTGAATCTTTCGATGTACTTTTGAAGAGGCTCGTCGGGAGCTTGGATTATAGCGCCGAGTGCGGCGTCCGTCTTCGAATGGCGTCGAGATGTTGTAAAGTGTTTCGAAAACAGGTCCTTCAGAACCTTCCACAACGTAATCGATTCGGGCTCCATACTTTTGTACCACGTCATGGCACCTTTCTTCAGTGTCGTCGGAAATAGTCTGCATTTGATAGCTCCTCGTACATTTCGGTAGTCGAGCATGGCCTTAATATCTTCCAGGTGATCGTCTGGGTCGGAGGTGCCGTCGTATGTCGAGAGCGTCAGGGGCTTCTCCATCCCGTGGGGAATGGGGGAGGCCATGATTTCCCGGGATATAGGAGTCCTGTAGTCGTCTTCGTCGTTGAGAGTGGGCGATCGAGGGGGAGATGGGCCATTTTGTGGAGGCACCTGGTTTCGGCCCCTCGGCCTCCTGACCGGGGGTTCGACGCGCGAAGGCCTGGTCGGGGGCTCTGCCATGTTTTGTCGTCTCTCACGAACTTGTCTCGTTGGGGATCTAGTCTGTTCCTGCACTACTTCGGTTCGAGGCCTCTCCAACCAGGGTCGTCGATCTCTGGGACGAGGCGAAGGGCTCCTCGAGTTCCCATTCTGGTCTTCCCGCGGAGGGGACCTTAGCAGGGCCTCGCGTTCTAGCGTGCCGATCCGCGTGTTTTGTTGAAATAACAGCTGGTTCGTCTGGTCGATGGCCGCGAAGAGGGAGGCCACAGTCGGGTCCGCTCCGGCTGGGACGGGAACTGGCTGGAACACTGCTGGGCTCCGGGGTCGGTGGTCAGCCTGGTGTGCAGCTTTCGCGGACGAAGGAGAGGCAGTCCGGTCGTCCCTCTCGTCGGTCTCTGGTGGACGGGACGTCTCCATTTGCTTGCCGCCGTTCGCGGCGGGGGTGAGGATGAAGTCGGGAATGACATCGTCGTGGCGTGGGCTAGCCATGATCGTGGAGTGTTGGTGAAACTTTGGTTTGCTGCTCGAAGTAACGGGGAAGTTTCTGTTCCCACAGACGGCGCCAGTGATCTGACCTAATCAGAAGGGGATCACTAGCTGGCCACGCTCTGTTGGACTGCTGCCTGTTCACCGGTGATGAGGAGGAGGGGGTGTACCTGTAAGGCACTCCGATGCCAAAATGAGTATATGGGCAGAGTGGTCACAAGCATAGAAAAAAAGGGTAAGAAGTGAATTACCTGACCCTCTTGGAGAAGAGGGTATTTATAGAGAGACCCTAGCGTAGGGCCAATGGTCATTTGAGTTGGGCTGGATGGCCAGACCCAACCCAAGTGACTGCTAAGGCTTACGTGGCGTAGTGAAGACCAGAACGTGGTCTTCGCCCTAGTTCAACTGTCCCGTGATCTCCGGAAAGTGGGTTTGACCTGCTCTTTCGGAGGTGGGCAGTTGGTTGGTGACGTGTCCCGGCAGAGGGGGGCACGTGGAGAAAGTGTGAAGGACACGTTGCCTTGCCCGACAGGGAGCAGGTTCTGCCCGCGGAGAGGGCAGGTTCTGCCCGTGGAGAGGGCAGTGTTTGGTCGATGAGGGAGTCTTGTGCCCGACATACCTGAGGCAGGTCTTGCTCGCGGAGGGACATTTCCTGCTCGTCGGGGACCTTGTGTCCGACGCTGTGGCCCAAACTGGACTGGATTTGGCAGGATATTATTGGGCTGGGCCCGCGTGGGCAGGCCGAGGGCCAGGCCCGAACAATAATATAAATAAATAAAATTATATTATCCTATTTTTAATAAAGGTATTCTGATAAATGAGCTATCAAAATAAAAATTTAGTGAATATCTCATATTATAAAAATAAAAAATTGGATTTTATAGTTAAAAATATAAGGAATAAATTTTATTCAAAAATAGATAACTCTAAGTTAAACTATTATAAAAAATATATATAAACACAAAAGTTGACATACACTTTATATTTTAGTTTTAATCTGTGTTTTACCTTTTTATAAAAATATTCTCTTTATTTTAATTTCAAACAACTTTAATTTTTCTTTCACACTTTATAAATTAAAATAGATGACATGTTAATATTTTAAAGACCTGTCATGTTATGTTTATTTTTCTTTTTATATTTAAAGATTATGACGTTTTTTTCATTCTCTTCTCACATTGCAAAGTAAATTGGTAGAATGTTTGGAGGACATTTTAAAAATATTTATGAAATTTTTTATAGTTATTTTTGAATTTGTTTTTAAAAAGTTTGTGGTATAATAGAGTGAATTTTTCTATTGTCTATATATAAGCTTTCTTAAAAATTAAAAAAAAAATCATATTCTAGCTCTCATTTTTTGTTTTCTTTCACTTCTATTTTCTTTTTTTCATTTTCTCCTAAAACCACATTTCGAAATTTTCCTTTCTGACCCTTACATTTAGTTATTATGCCGTTTTGCGGCAAAACGACAATGCCAAAACAAACACCCACATACACAAAATCAAATCACCATCGCGTGCGTTTTATTTCATCATCACTATGATGGGTCTAAACAACTTCGGAACTACGATCACGATACTAACGGCCGTTACTCTCACAGCTCTCGCCGTCGAGATCCTCTACGTTTTATGGAAACGCCGTTTAAAACTCCGTCCACGTGTCCGTGCAGAGCCACAAGAACAACCATCTCTTCCATCGTCTTCACCTGATCAAAGGGAGCGGGAGCTAGAGGAAGAGCTCGAGCAACACATTGCAAAGTGGCAGTGTATAAACGGTCTGTCGAGAGTTCTTTTCACGATCAAGGAAGAAGATAGAGAAGGAGTTGATTCTGAGAGTGGTTCTTTGACGGAATGTAGCGTTGTTACAGTGAAGAAAGCGTTGGCGGTGGGAAACACGCGTTTGAGTGAGATTGAGAATGAAAATGTGGTTATGGGTGATGATGAGGTTGTTTTGGACGTTGAAGAGTTGTTGAATGAAACGACGCCGTATTCGACACCTTATTATACACTGCTATCTTCGCCGACGCGCTGTAATGAATGAAGTGAAAATAGGAATGTAAGAGTTTGTTGTTGTTGAATGAAAATTGAAAAGGTCAATAAAATTCATTTTGTTTTTCTCTAGTAATTTAGATTAGGGTTTGTTAGTTTTGATTAGTGTTTGTTAATTAGATTAGTGTTCACTGTAGGGCTGGAAATGAACCAAACCAAGTCGAAAATAGTTCGGAATTCGACTCGACAATTAAATCATTGAACTAGGTTCATGAACCAAATGAGTTGAGTATGAGCGAAAAATTAAGTTCGTTAACTAAATGAGCTGAACTTGAAAACTATACATAGTTCGACTCATTAGGTTCATGAGTCAACTCGATTACATATGAAAAGAATTATACTGTCTTTAAGATTAGGTTTAAATATTTACTTCAAATCTTAGACAAATTTAATCTTCAATTTAGTAGTTTTTGAATTAGACTCTCAAATGTATCTCTTGAAGGTTGTGTAGGTTTTGAATTAGTAGATTTCGAAGATAAAGTTAAATTTCAATATAATAACTTTTATTTTATTTAAAAAATATATATTTATTTAAAATGTCAAATATACTAAAATATATATATATATTAAAAAAAATAGTTTTTAAGTCCGTGAATCATGTGAGCTGAACCTAATGAGATGAACCTAACGAGTCGAACCGAACTGTTCGTGAACTTATAACGAGTCGAGTTTGAGCTTAAAAAAAATTCGTGTCGAACTCGAACTCGAACAATTTTTAACGAGTCGAGCCGAGATAAAGTGAATTCGACTCAACTCGACTCATTTCCAGCCCTAATTCACTGTTATCTTATCTTTCTCTACAAATTCAAAGTTATTTGAAGAGATAACTAATATAATTAATATTATTGTTGTGGTTATTTATTATGAAATTAAATGCGGTTTACCGGTTTTATTTTATTTTAGTTAAGTGCTGGATATTATTATGGTATTTTTTATATCTGCGTTTTGAGTTAAAGGTGACGAGACTGAACTATCTATCACGTTCTTCTTGTTTGCTTTTTCTATACGTCTATTCATTGCAATTTTATTATTAAAAGACTCGTATGTTTTTTCTTTTTCTCTGAATTTTCTTCAGTTGTTTGTTTACCTTTTTTGTTGGATTTAAGATGGGGTTTGAGTTTTGTAACCATGTGGACCCTATGGGCCTGGACTTGTATATTTTGGGGGGCCGGGACCGGTATTATACATACATCCATTTGTGGGCTTCTGTTCTCATGATTCTTCTTTGGAAGTTGTTACACACACTTTTATGATATTCAATGACATTCTCGGAAAGGAGATGAAATGTGTACGACACACAAATTGTTTAAGGTACAATGTTTATGGTAGACATTCAAACACACTCTCCTTGATTGACCATTTCACATCGATTAGTTAAAAAATAGAAATGAAAAAGTAATTAACATTATCATAAATTAATATTATTTTGCTACTAGGCTTTGTAATATGTCAATCAAAATGTTCGTGGACTATTTTGAGAACTTTTGTGAAGATTCTATATATTAGAAAAGAGAAATGATATGGTTACATCCAAAAAGTAACACTACACCTACTTTTATACTATACATTCTACTTTTTTTATTTTATTTATTATTTTTATGAAAATTAAAATTTGTGATGCACTGAAAATGAAGCTAGGAACTACGGTGTACATGTACGGTGTAAATACTTTGGTGTAAACATAGCACTCCTCATTAGAAAAATGTTACTTTCATGGTGAGAACAACAATTCAAACATAAAACGAGTATGTAATAAATATTCTATATTCTAAAGCAACACATTATTTTATTTTATTTATTCATCCATCTAATGTAAAAATTAATTTTGGTTTGAACAACAGTGAAATTTTGATGATAACAAGTAAGATGAATATAATTTCGTTGACATAGTAAAGGTTGTGTTCCTATGAACTTTATCATTTATCTTCTTCTTCAACTTTTTCTCAATTTTTAATGGTGAGACAGTTGCATCATAGTTACTTATCTTGAATCTCTTCAAGATATCTTAGGCATACTTCTTCAGGTGCAAGAACACTCTTTCACTCTTGCTTTTAAATTCCATCCTTAAGAAATATGACAAGTTCTCTAGGTCGGACATTTCAAACTCTTGCATCAATTTCGACTTGACTCCTTTTATCTCTGTTTCATATGCACATGTAATCAACAAGTCATTTACCCACAGGCATAAGATGATTCGACTGACCTTGTCTACATCATTGACATACACTTCATGTTTAGAGACACACTTTTTAAAACCTACTTCAATAAGGAAGTTATCTATTCTCCTATTCCAAGCTCTTAGGTTTGCTTCAAACCATATAGAGTCTTCCTCGATCTGTATACCTTTGGCTCATACCCTTTGATTTCGAATCTTGGTGGTTGACTGACATAAACTTCTTCTTCCATAGGTCCATTCAGAAATGTTGACTTTACATCCAACCGATGTATCCTCCACCCTTTTGTATGTTGTCGTCGACACAACAGTTATAATGGTTTCAAGCCTCGCCACAGGTGCATACATTTTTTCGAAATTAATACCAGGTTTTTACATAAAACCTCTCGCCACTAATCTTGTCTTATGCTTGACAATTTCAGCGTTTGGCCTTCGTTTCAGATTGTAAATCCACTTCACGTTAATTGGCTTCTTTATTGACTATTTGACAAGCTCCCAAATCTTGTTCTTCTCGAGGCACCGAGTTTTTCTTTCATGGCCGCTAACCAATTAAAATCATTCATGGCTTGACCCAAATTGATTGGTTATGCTTCAACCATCATCATCGGTTCTTTTATTAAGTCACCATCTACATCAGCTGCTTGATCTAGCAATACCTTATATCCAGCTAACCTTGTCGACATAGTTCTTGCTCTAGTCAATCTCCTAACATTGTGCTTAGGTGGTTCTTCGTTTCAATTAGTCGGGACTTTGTTAGAACAAAACTTGTTCATGACATATATCATTTACATTTTTATGATAACAAAGTATTGAAAGAACAATGGTGTTATCTAATGTGTGTTCTAAGTATGCAGGTTTCAAAACTTAAAGAGAATTTATTCAAAATATGTTAAGGGAACACATCTAAGAGAATTAGAGTTCTTGGCTTCTGATGGTTCAAAACTGAAGGGAGATTTAAAAGTGAAGTATGATGATATATGATTGTGTAGACTCTGAAGCAATGTATCAACATCAGAAGAGCAATATGTTATCTATACACTTATGGAATGTATCAGCTTTTGCTGATTATTCAGAATCATAAACAAAGCTAAGTGATCTGTACTGCATAAAACAAGCTACATTATCAAATCAGTTTGTCAGCTAGAGTCTGTGTCCACATGGCTCAAGGAGAGTTGACATGCTTTACGGATATCCACTCTCAACTGATATTTAGTACATATCACAAGAAAGACACTACAATTAAACAAGTTACACAATGGATAAAGATATTTTTGTGTATCTATCTTCAACGTCTCTTAGTACTATGGATTGACAAAGATATTTGTGCAAGTTATCTCTTCCAACGACTACTCTTTTGTATATGCTATATAAGTAGATGAAGATTCAATCTGAAGAATCAACAAGGAATAAAAAAAGGGCCGAGCAGAAAAAGAAATGTGTCATGCTTATCGAAGAATAACAAGATCAACAACATCGAGTATGTTGAATTTTTGTCATCTGTTGTAAATTGCACATAGACTTAAGATTTCTTAAACAATGTATATCTTTGAAATCTTATTTGTTATGATCTTTGTTATAGATATTGTCGTGTACCTCTGATTATATATCAAGTATTCCTTGTTGCCTATTCTGCTAAATATCGCAACGCGAAAAAATAACCGGCGGAAAAATAGAGTCGCCACACGAACTTTATTTATTCCGACGGGGGAAAGGAAACGATTAAAGAAACCTCAAAAAGGTAGAAGATATGGTCTCGCAACCAAATACTGGGTTCGGGAGTCGATTATGTGAGAGGAAGATATTAGCACCCCCTCGCATCCGTTGTACTCAACGGGATTCACGCCTGTTGTTCTAATCGAAGGGTGTGTTTATCTAAAGCTTACTTTTTAAACAGAAACAAAAAATAGAGAAACAACAGGTGACTCGATAGGACTTTTCCGTTCTATGCCTACGTATTCTCTCATGCAATGGGAAATTTTGTGTCAACGTAGTTCAGAGGACTACACGTGAATGAGGGGAATTGTGCTTGCCAAGACTTCGCCGTCTTGTGCCTACGTATCCTCATTCGGACGAAAATAAGGAAGTCAGAGCGCTCGTAGTTCGACCTACCACGGGTTGGTTGGTGTCTTTTATGAGCAATGCTAAGTTTGTATTCTAGCAGTTCTGATCAATGCCTATTTGCGATAGAACGAAGGTAGCATGCCCTTTTTGAAAAGATTTAAGGAAAATCCCGAAGGACAAAATAGTTTGCATTTGTTCAAGGATTTTAAAAGAAATAGATTGACTTTGTTTGTGACGTGTATCACACTAAAGTCTATGACATATGGTAGAATACTTCGTAAGATCGACCCAAGACGGGGATGTATACAAAACACTCTAGACAACGTAAGAAGAGACTCCCGCTTATTATTTTCCATTTACTTAAGGCTCGTGGCGCACAACACTCATCATATTTATTAAGTATTTTGATTACTGTTTTGAGAAAGAGAAGAGAAAATACTCAAAGGGAAAAAGAAAAATCTAAGGGATCTCACACCAAGATGTTGTCATGCCAAATGGTCCTATAGTTGAGGATGATAAAAAGAATTCCACCCTAATGTTATCATGCAAGAAAGTTGAATCCTAAGATCTACTCTAATTTAATTTGTTGGAGACAAAGTTGAATCAAGAACCTAAGGGAATATGGCAAATCATACAAGTGAACAACCGAACCTAGGCCAAAAAGGCACCATAGAAAATTAGTGGGCACATGATCAAGATCAGAGTAAGAATCAATAGAGAAGTTCACAAAATTCAACCGAGAAAAGTCCTAACCAAAT